GTTATTACTTTCTCTCGTTCCCATACACGCATCCTAATATTCCAACCGATTGGATGGAATGCTAGCTGTTTAAGAGCCCGAAAGCTAACAAAAACCGAATGAGCCGCAGCGCGCAACGAGGTTAAGGAGGTGAGGTGCCGGTGCCCTGCCTTACCCGAGGTTGGTAACCTCACAATACCGTAACTCCAATCCGAAATCCAAAATATATCCAAGAACAAAAGCACTAAGCGACTGGATGAGAGAGGTTGAAAGATCTGGAGGTGACTAACGGAACGGAAGCGGGAAGGCCTGGGGATGCTCAGGATGTTAGGCCGTGGAGACCGCCACCAGGGCAGATATGCGATTTTAATAAACCAAGAACGCGAAATAATACAACGCGTTGATCAACGGGTCACAACGTGAGAGCCTACTGGCAGAAGTCCGAGATAATTCGAATCACCCCGAGGACTACCTCGCTGAGAGCGCAACATAAGATAGCGGAATGCCCATATACACCCTATCGAGAGTGTGATGGGCTCACTAGGGTAGCGCCAAACAGAGCATCGCTAGAAAAAATATGACTCGCACCCAGAAAATGCAGTCCGTATTGTTCTCACCCAGAGAGCGTAATCAGGGAGAATATAACCCTCCTCTACTGAGCGGAGTCTTCCCAATGCCCCGGGCTGCCAGTGGTCCGCACTGGCAGTCAGCCGAAGCGGCTCTGCCTAGTGAGTGGGCAGTCTGGGGAGTACTGCCGATGCCCCCCACTCTCGACTATGGCTCGTTATACAGCCGGGTGCCGAGATGTGCTTCCCTCGTCACAGAGTGGATATCCTCGACATTAGCTTCTCCCGGAGCCCGCCGAATTTGAATGTCGCCACTGACCCCTTCGAACAATCCCTTCGTCGAATCAGTCCTCACACCCTTCAACGATTCGAACAACCCCGGGAGAAGATTGAGATAGTAGACATACTAATCCAAAATTCAAGTTCAATGTGCGGGATTTTCGAAAATTCCGTTACAGCTGATAGATCGTTATGTCATTTTCGGAGCTTCAAAGGGGATCGGGTTCATGAGATGAACATGCAATTTTATTTAGTTGCATGATCACTTGATTTAAAAGGAAATAACTAAATGATATGAAATTTGACGTATTTTACAGAGGGGTAAATGTCCAGTTTAGGCTCACCGAACCATATTCTACAGATACAGATATTCTGCACTGGAGTGTATGGGATTCGCTTGCCTAATTTAGGATGTGGAAACCTTTTTGGAGGGAAACAATTAGTTTGGAATATATGATTGTTGATTGACCGCTCTCCGCGTTATCCACAAGTGGAACAGACTAGGTTATGTATGAAACCTTCATATTTAATAAATCCCCAAGAACAACAGGCAGATCATTTAAATGAGGAGACCGAGAGATTGAGTGAAATGTTATCATTTTACTATTAATTCTGCTCACTCATCAACACTTTCGACAATTAATATTTACACTTATGATACCTTTCATTCCTTACATAGGGGAAAGGTTAAGGCTAAGGTAAGGTGTGAGAGCAATGTTGGGATGATTCTAATCCTTATAGACAAAGGGGGAGAAGCGATGGGGCATAATTAGCGAAACGTGAGAAACGAAAATGTCCAATTATTGAACGTTTTGTAGAAATTCCATGCAGCATCGAAAGACATAATTATTTTCGGTTTTTCAAAATGATCGTATTTCCACAAGTAGAAATTCATTGTTAAAGCTTATTTGAAAAGAAATAGTATATTTCCGGACTGTTGGCATGGGGTTTTTTACTAGTGTGGAGTTTGGCAAACCGAGTTGAGGACGGGGCGGCCAACCATACGAGTAAAAAAACACCATCCGGACATTCCGAATATTATTTTTCCGTAGTTATTTTCGAGTTTTCGAGTTTGGGACGTATGTTGTACCAATTCTTAAAAGAAAAATCGTGAGAAGCAGTAAAAAAATATAATTCTTTGGAATCAGAACCATTGCCACTCAAGTGACTAAGCAATGGCTCGCCCTGGAATTTCCATCATGTGTTACTTCTCAGGATATTTAGTGTTTGAATTTTACCATACTTAAGGTTGGTTTGCATGTATTGGCGAAGATATAAGAATTGCTTGAAATTTTGACATAATGTTTTTGAAGCCATAACCGATGCCTGTATAAAATTTGAGATTAATTCACAACACTGTTTCGTGATTATTAGTTATTGCCTCTTATGGGGAAAATAAAAATTTCTATAAATATAGTCCAAAATATAAAGTTTTGTTGAAATTTTGAAAATGTAGTATTGAAGCAGATATAAGACGAAGGTAAAAAATTTCATGACGATTAAGTGAAATTCTTCTTTCATTAATTTCTTTAAACAATATAATATTCATTCATAGAATCCAATATGCTATAATGATTTTCTATGACGATTACATCAACTAATTAACACGTTTGAATAGTAATAGAAAACTAATGACGATGAATATAACGAATTATAGAAAGGGTCATAAACTTTTGTGTTGACTATACTTGCAGAACATCCTTAGTCATGTTTTTATTAATTTCCTTGACACTGAATTAGTAGCATTCCCGCGCACTCAGCATACATCATTTCTTTCGAATTAATTGGTCTGGAAAGTGACGCTATTCTTCACATGGGGTCATATCAATTTTATAACATTAAATTTGAAATAAGCTACTGGAAGCCATAATAATTTTACGCGTTTTTCGTAGGCTATTGTATCCACAGAATAAAATTTAAAAAAAATAGTGAGGATGAATCAAAAAGACTAGTTAATATATGAAAGGAAGCGTCGTTCAGAGCTAATGTTACATTCATTTATAATAACCATTTAATGGCCACGCTTTTTGTCCAGGATTTAAATGTATTGCATTTTTCGGGAATTCAAGTAGTATGACAGAGGGCTACGTCAATGATAATCACCGATTTTGGAGACAAAAACGTTACGATTTTAGTAAACTACTCCAACTAATATTGTAAAGTAAGTCCATTATGATGATCGCAATTTGTCTTCTAGATAAAACGACCCTTTCCCTCTTCTATGAATCCATCGTCAGTATCAATACGAGTTATAATCACTCTCTTATCCGCATTGGACGGAACTAAAAACTCCCTTCGAATAGAAGCTATGTCTTGGACTTGTAATCAGTGGAAATCGAAATTATTCACATTTTTGTGAGATGTCATTAATGAAAAATGTTTGCATTTCCATTAGTGCTCATGAGCCAGAGCTCGAAAAGAGCTGATTCGTGTGCATTAATTATTTATAACTCATTGATTTCTCTATTTAACACGAAAAAAATATTTTATTCATCACACACACTTTTTGGCAGGGTCACCGACCCCCAAAAAGTAATCACCGTTAGATCATCGATTCCTGGAGGAGGTAGACGAATACACTGGGGTATTTGTTATAGTTTTCCAATTTCATTATTTTTTAATAGAATGCACATTTTCTTAACTGCAATGCAGATAATCTTAAATGTCATTGAAAAATCGGAAAATTGTACTTGTATTTGCGTGAAACACGATTGTTAGACACATACATTATATTGAGCAGAAGGAAGGCAGTCACAATTGATTGAAATAAATTCTGTTAATTTCAATCGTGTAACGATACATTTTATAGTTTTCGTGCGTGGAGAAAGAAAGAAAGTCGTCCGGTATTATGTAGTACTGTTGTCCCATAGTAATGTTAATAACACTTTGTAGGTAAAAAAATCGCAAAGAAAGAAAGGGAAAAATCCCATATGTTGTTTAAATGAGAAAAAGTAAGTTTTTGAGGGGGCAACTTCCGGTTGAGACAGAAGGTTGAAATTTTCAGGGAATTATTTTAAAATTATTGAGATAATTTAGAGGGCGGCACGAGAAAAATTCGAATTGAGACCTTCTAACAAGTATCCTACAGTACACATGTGGCAGCGGTTTCAAGGGTTGGGAAGCTATACTTTCGATAAAACCATAATAGCGTGCTATCAGTAAAAAAATTGGAAATTGCGCGAATTTTTATAATATATTCAGAGTGTCTGGCAACTTAAACTATATATTTCCAATGTCTTTAATGTTTAATTGTCTATTGGAAAATATTTTTGTTATGCCAATTAGATATTTCTCAGTATTGAGAAATTTTCACTCAACAATGAATAAATATTCAGAAAAAATAATTTTCTTCAACCATCTCACAGTTGATACCTGAGATGATGTAAAAAATTAGGATAATTTTTCGGAAAAACTTGAGATAATGAAATCCAGTCTTACTTCAACAATTTGTACATCACATGAAAGGCACAGAGGTTTCGTCACCTTTTTCCTGTAGTATTGAAAAACTATATGGCATGAATGAAAAATGCAACCTCCACAGTAAAATAATAGTTATAATGACAATAATAGTCGATCGAAGCAATGGATGTAGTACCATAGCCATGCGATTTTTGTTCTACGAGAACGGAGGCTTCCAAATTTTGCGGACTACATTTTTTAAAAGAATAGTAAATGATATTAATAAATAATAAATGATAGCCCTCAAAACATAGCGTTGGAGAGTAGCGGCAGTAGCCACACGGGTGATATGTGACTCCAGCGGTTGTCCAAGCTAAGCAACAGTTGTGTTAGTACTTGGACGGATGTCCGTTTAGTTGCACCTTCTGCGTGGAAAGTGTCGGCGTTAGACACGGATGTAGAAAACTACTGTGTTACCCGAGTCAGTGTGACGAATAAACACAGCAGATTCACTGCATTACCGGCCGGCTGCAATATTGAGTTTTCCCATGGTTTCCCTCAGTACACGCCAAATGCTGTTGAAAAAAGTCGGTCCATTCTTTGTTCGTTTCTGTTTGCGGTTCCATATGGAAGCACTAACAGAAATGAAGAAACTGGGATAGTAAGGAAGAGCTGCAAGACGCAAGGCGCCTATAAAACCGTAATGGTAGTAGGAAAGAGAAATATATCTAAAAAAAAATCCTTTTCCTCTATAACTGATATTCACAATTTTTGCAGAGCCAGGCGTTAGCTTTGACACACAAGGTATCGCCACCATCTCGACCATCGAGTATATCTCCCATACCGCGGAGTCCACAATCACATCAGTCTCACCCAGCACACGCGATATGCAGCCCAACCCCGCGGCCAGCATCTGTTCACCATGCGCAGTTGCATCAAGTCTCCTCTGCTTCTCTCATGACCACGAGTTTTCATCAGCATTCTCAACCTCTTACTACTCAACAAATATCGCAGCCATTTGGTATTCATCATCATCGAAATCCTAAGCAAGAAACTGACTCAAGCAGTCCAAAACCTGAAGGTTTCGATCTCAGCAAAGGTTCGACGGTAGCTGGTGAGTGAACCATCCTCTGAAAAAAAATTACATTCAAAGCGACAATCGCTTTTCTCAATTTTCGATGGCAAATTGCTGTTAAGCTTGCTCTAAATATTAAGGGCATACCAGTACTACTCACAGTCTTTCTTGGGTAAAATTCCCTTCAGATAATATCGAATAAGATTTAATCTTTAACTGAAGTACATTGTCCAATAGACTTTCCGACCTTTTTTCGACAAGTTTTTTTTGAAAAATGAACTTTAACATACAGTTTTCATCAGGGCACTACACTTCCATTTTCAACTCCACCGTTGGGCAACATAGAGCGCTTTTTCATACATTGAATCATATGTGACTTTATTCGTTAGATTCTCAATTTTTTTCAACTCATGGATAACAATGATTTTCGAAACAAATAATAAACAAAACTTCAATTAAAACCCTCTCCATCTAGATGACGTTCACACTGGATGGTTTGCAGTGCAGATTGCACATTCCTGACGTTTGGCAACGGTTCGTTCGAAAACCTCTTCGGACGGACTGAAGTTGGTCATATGGAATACATATACAATGTTATCATTATTAGAGTTTAGACAAACAAGAGTGAGATGGGAAATGAAAAAAAATATTGATGACAATATTCGTCAGATAAATTGTTGAAAACATTTATTTAATAAATAAAGAATAAAGAATTCAAAAAGGTGAGAAAGTGGTGAAATTTTGGGCAAAACTAAAATTTTATGGGAGACCAAGTTGCTACTTTGACCGAACTAACTGCATATTCTTTTAATATATATTTGCCAAGAAATTGTTCCGTAATCACTAATTCGGGTACTATCTTTCTTGAAATTTATTGTTTTTTGAAGGAAATCAATTTTAATATATGATAAGAATCGTGAAAACTTGCGATTGTCAATTTTCAAATGAAAATAGCACACCCTTATCGACTGCTTTGCGAAAGGTTGCAAATATTAATCGAATACGGGGATTCGGATCTATCGATAACCTTCGACTTTTCTCCATTAGATCTCCAATCTCGCAAGAAACGGTATGGAAATGTAATTTGGTGCTTGAGGAAAGCACATGATGGTTACGCAGTTAAGAATTGCTTTCTCATGTACCACTCTGCCCCTCAAGGCGAATGAAGCTCTACCCGAGCAATATGAACGTGTATTGTTTGGAGAAACGTAGCCAATCCCGAGTAGAAATTTCAATCAGGTTCAGATCATGATCTGATCCGGCCAGCCCTGATGATAGATCAGGATCTTATATGGTAACTGGATCAAATCCTGATCAGTCATATAACGCCTTTTTTAATCAAGACTTTGTAATCATTCCCGGATGTGCGTATACTTTGAGAAATTTTTTTTTCGGTTAGAATTCAATTCTGTTGATGAAAAATGATTTAAATAATAATATCATACTAATGCACAAATCGAAGTTAGAGGACCACTTTCCTCTTCCACATAATTTCCTTGTAAGTTTAATACGTCTATACATAATTGCACAAAAAACTTGAATGAAGTATATTATATACTTTATTCATAATGGTATCATTTTTCCCTCTCCATATATTTAACGTAGTTAAATGTAATTTTCGGGACCCGGACGACTGGATCAAAACTTGATAAGGTTCTCATTAGGAATCATCTGACCAGACTAAGCTCAGACTGATTGAATGAGAACCTGATCTGGTTCTGCATGGACTATTTCTGTTCCAATGAACTGGGTCAAAACTTGAGGAGTTTCTCATCAAGAAGGGCCTGGTCAGACTAAGACCAATAAGCGGATCAGGTGAAAACTTGATGATTATCTACCTTAGATAATTCAGATCGGGGTAACTTGATCAAAACTTCACCAGTTTTTCATCAGACCTTGCCTGATCAGACTAAGATCAAGCTGACCAAATCTTGAATTCCCTGCTATGTCCAGTGTCTGTCTGCTCTGAACGTGATCAATCTGTAAAATAAAACTTATGAATAATATATGATAATAGATCAAAAATGCACAAAAAAAAATTTAATCACGTCATCCTATTGCATAATTCGCCCCTTTGGGGGAATCGGAAGTTTTAACAAGTTATAACAAAGAAACGGTACTGTGGATAACTTTTAGATTGGATATAGATTTTGTATTTATGTTTTCTAATTTGGACTATTTTGTGTGAAATTTTTCTTTGCTATAATCCCAAATAGCTCATTTCTCATACTTCATGTTACTTTCGCATACCCTGATGGATTATGATTAATAATAGTGGAGTGATGATTACGCGTAGGCTTAACCTGCAGTTTTCTATTCTTCCTAACTTTAGATCAAAGTGTTTAGTTTTTAGTTTTTTTGATCCGTAAAATCTGAGCTTCGCATGCACTACTTTCAGGATGACTCCATGCGTCCGGACAAATAAATATCTACTCTGGTCGATCTAATGAGTTCTCCGATTTATTTATACGCAATAGTTATTTTCCACGGCGTGGTTATAAAAAAATTTTCCCAGACGTAGAGCCTCGGAAACGTAATTTTCTGGAAGCGTAAATGACATTTGAACGGTCGAAATCGAAATAACACATTACACTGCATGAATATAATGTTATGCTAGTATATACCGTTAATATATACTGTTTTATGAAAAGTTTCGAAATACTGTCGCTTATCGGTTTATTCTTTAAAAAAAGCACCTGTGACGACAATGATTCACTAACTAATCAACTTGTAATTCAGCATTCTGCTGGAATTCTTCGGCTTGTACTATAAATCTCCCACGAACCTAGAATTGTATTGTAAACCGTGCGTTCTAACTCGTATGTGTATTAGCAACATGAGGCGAAACGGAGGGTATTCCTTTCGTCCAAGCCAATTGTTCTTTCCGTCATTACTGTACGGAAGAGTTACACTTTTCTTCGTAAATGGCGGGAGGAATGAGGGTTATAGCATCCCGAGGATTCTCAAAAACAATAGAAATCGGAGGGATGGAATAGGCCACGTTCTTCTCAGTATCTGGGGAGTGAAATCGTACTTTCCATGTAGGTATAACGGAAAAAATATATCTTCGTACCGGGGCAAGCACTATAGTCACCTCTCACCAGTCAACAACCACTTCTGCGGACTCGTATCGCAATGTACTAGGTGAATAGCTACGGCCAAAGCATTTTTGCTGTCGTATCGAAATATTCTATTTTTTCACTTGTATCGTGTGTACTATTCACATATATGTAAAGGCTGATTATTCACTTGATTCAAATGAGAATCAGTGGGAGCTAGGATTTGACATTTGATGAGCTCCTATTCTTCATCCATTTTCATAAATACCGCTATTCATTAATGATTTCTTAATTGTCTCGAATTGAAATTTTATGAAAAATTGTTGTGTATTACCAACAACCTACCAACAGCTGTGGCAAAGCAGAACAATTATCCATATTATGCAGACCAGGTGATGTTAAATACCGTGGTCCTATTTGTCGACATTAGAAGTGGGGGAATATCGAGTAGTCATTGATCATTTCATAAAAGAATCGGACTAATTCTTGCGTTAAATTTCTATCTGCGAATTTACAGGTAAATTAATTCCAAAGAAATTAAGAGTTAGATCACACTTTATTTGACTACTCAATGTATGCAATGCATAAAAATACATATGGTTTTTTCATATGTGTATCCAATGTAACTTTGATATTCCACTTAGTACATGGAAACTGAATAAGGATAGATAGCTGAAAGAGGAGAGGAGTCTGTGATAGTTGTACTGCGAGAGAAATATCGCGCCCGCGACCCTTGAATACTAATCCGGATTAACTCAGAATCCTGCGGACTATGCGGCCTGGGATGTGAGCCACGGATACGTAGCACGTTTCAAACCAAACTCGTCGTTTTCTTTTAAATTCCCTGTTTTTTTTTTCAATTCAATTTTTTATTGGTTCTCACATCATTATCATCCATTTATTCTTCTATTCAAATTATTTAGAATTTCATATGGAGATTTAATAATATAATTTAATTTAATAGATTTAATAGTTCTCACGTCATTATCATCCATTTATTCTTCTATTCAAATTATTTAGAATTTCATATGGAGAGTATTGATTCTAAAACTAGTGCAATTTAACTGGATTTAAATGGAAAAGATCTGTAGAATACCATGTTTGAGGTAAAATCCAAGCAAATTCGAATAGTTTTTAAGTAAACTAACCGAGAAATACTACATGAAATGGTGGGAAGTGTCAAGGCTCGGCAGTTGTGTCAAACCTGATGTAGCTTTTAGGTCAGCAAGTTTTTATACACCATTTGGGTATTAAATTGGCTCCAGTAATTAACTGGCTTAAAGTTGCACGTAACAGTATACTACGTACATCTTCCAGGTCCAGATCTTCTGCACACGGATAGACCAGTGCTGGTCTCAGAGGCAGCGGTGTTTTGATCCCAATGAATGTCCTATAATGAGCTCAAGAGAGCACGCTAACTTGCACGATGGGCTCTGTATCGTAAAAACCTACATAGCTCCCTCTTTGCTGGAAGCAACCAGAATGGAATCAAAAAATGCGTGATTAGTATTCACCTAGTCTCCATGAATGAAGATTCTAACGAAATTCCCAGGGATTTTATCGCTTAATATTCATTTCTTAATTTTATACTTATACTTTTTTACTTTTTTGTTGTGCCCGAGATTGTCCAGCGATCCACTAATGAATATTTATTGAATACGTGTTGGATCGAGTATCAAACAATCGAGCATTGGTTGGTGCACAGATATTGGCCAATACATTAGCCACGTCTTCATGGTGGACAAGTGCATAGAGTTATTGTTTATTGGAGAAATAATTAACCGATAAGCCTGCCAGTACTGACTCAATTACGGCCCAGTTGACTTTTCGTCGCCAGGATATAGTCAACGATTGATTACTGTAAGCAATTTCCACTCAATGTACTCGATTTACCGCACGGTTGGGTTGAAACGTCAGAGAAACGCCATAGTGTCAGTAATTGAAGCCTTTATGCTATCTGACGCCAATGGTGTACTCCGG